TGTGGATGATGTCTATTGTAATTGATTATTTACATGTGCATGTATGTACGATACTGTATGTCCTGTGGGGTGGAGCCCTGTGTGTCAGAGGCTCCTGGATTATGTCGTTTATTTATATTTTTACGCAGTTAAGTGTGGGATCGGTTGGGAATCTGCTTTATTAATCCCAAATCGAGTTCCACGTCACCCACCCCGTTTGGGGGGCGTGACAAAACGGATCCTAATTTAGAAGTTACAAGGTTTAACGGGGGAGAAAAAAAACCATCACAAACGTGGCTGAAGAGGTGGGACACGTGTCGCAAGTGGATTCGCGCGCGGGAGAATAAGTGTTGTACTGGCTGGGCCCACGCGGAGGAAGAGTTGACGCGCGCGGGAGAAGAACTCGCCCGGAGAGAGAACATACGCACAAAGCGCGCGTACGCAAGGGAGCAGCTGGACCCCACTGGACGCGTGGCGAGAGACGATTGGAGGGATGCTGGAACGCGGGACCCACGCGGAGAGGAAAGGAAATCCGGGTGACACGCGCGTGGAGGAGACTCGCCCGGGGAGAGGATCCGTGCGCGCCAAGCGCGCGTACATGCGGGGACAACTGGGTCCCACGGACCTGCGGCGCGGCAGAAGACGACATGTGGCGGCTGGGATGGGCTCACGGCTTCTTGGCTCGGCTCGGCTGGACGATGGGCTGATGGGCTTTGGGCCGAATTGGGCTTTTCTTGGGCTCAACTTTTGGGTTTTGCTTGGTAAACTAGCCCAAATCCAATTGTTTTCTTCAAAAACCTGAAAAATAAAATAAATCCAATTAAAATTAAATCCTCTAAATTTAGGAATATTTGAAATTAAAATCACAAATTTGATAAAATAATTTGACAATTATGAACATTAAAAGTGCAAATTTGTGCACTTATCAATCATATAATCCTCTTCTTAAGAATTGTTTAATTAATTGAAAAATATCATATTGCAATAATTATTGAACATTCAACACACATACATAACTTTTTATTGGGTTAATGACATAAATGTCTATATACACTAGTACCCCCTTTAAAACTGTCTACAAAATTTCATCTTATTATGAAACTCTCCGTTGACATGTCTTGGAGAAATGCATTAATATTTCGTTGAACATCGTTCTTGAGATTTTAAATAAGTAAGAAAGGAAAAAAGTAATTCGACAGACAAGGCCTCATGTGGGAGACTGTGATTCCCAAAATGAAATTGGGTGTTCTTTCGGCTGTATTTTTCTTTGATGAGCTAGTGAATCGAGCTAGATTGTTGGTATGGACCTTAAATCTACCAAAAGGACACTTTGAGGCTCTGAAATAAGAACCACGGGCTTGGGATCGTTGCAACTGAGAGTAACAAGGATGAACTCCTTGGTCCATACAATTTTCTAATCTATTAACAAAGAGTAGCTCTATGCATCATTATACTGACACATGCTTAAAGAGTAACTCTAAACAAATTTGTTAAGAGATTTTTATTTTCAAATTTTTTATTGAAAAAAAAAACAAACCTTAGAAGTTTTAAATTCTAAACCTCTGAATCTCTAGACATTAAAAAAAAATAATAATAACCCTCTCATATGATATATAGATGACTGTAAAATTACCGTTAGACTAAACTTGTAAAAAAAAAAGTTGTTGAAGTTTTTTAAGATTTTTTTGAAATTTTTTTTTTTCTTCAAGATTTAGAACTTTTATTAAATGGGACTAGTAAATAAACAAATTTACATTCAAAATTAAAACGTCAACTTCCTATCTTAAATGAATTTTAGTCAATATAGACAAATTATCTTATCATTTAATATGCTTATATTAATAACATTACAGAAATCTAGAGCCACACTTTTTTTTTCCCCCTTGTGCTGGTATTTCAATTATTTATTTATTAAGTAGTGGCTTATGTGCTTTTGCTTATAAGTTGAAGTCAATGGGTTCTAAGTTGACCATATAAGATAAGCATTAATATTAACTTCGTTTAGACACCAAGTAAACAAATGAAATTTTATCACTAGGCTTATTACCGTCTTCATGTCAACGCCTGCATAGAATGTAAATGCAACAAGTTGGATCAAATTCTAATTATTAATGTTTTCCTTTGTCTCCATGTCAACACTTTTATGGATGTAAATGCAAAAAGTTGATCAAACTGATGGTATTAAGAGACTTGGCATAAGATTTTATTCTCAAATTTTTTTTTTTTTTTTTTGTTCCTTTCTTCTGACTTTTTTTGCGCCTTGCATTTTAGGTGTATTTACAATATATATTTTCTATTTTTTTATAAATGCGAATGTATACACGTATTACATTCGAAAGAAATCTTTTTTCTATCAATTTTAACCAAAGAAGCGAGTAAATTATAAGAACAAAATTCCAAAATTTAGGAAAAGAAAAAACGTTATGCCAACACAATGGCGTTTATAGTCAAGGCTCAACCTCCGCCAATAATGACTTTTTTTCTTTTTGTTACGGGTGTCTCTTAAATTTTGAAACCATGCTTTTACTTTATAATTTTTTAAAACAACCACTTAATTCTTTAAATTAATCTGTTTTAACCCTTCTGTTAGAGTTTATGTTAAAAACAGACAGGACTGAACCTAATTATAGAACCTAATAACGAGATTAACAAGAAACAAAAAAGAAAAAAACTTTCTTAAAATGTTCTCCATATTTTCTCATCTGCTTTGGATATCCTCCCAAAATTTAAGCGAAATATCACATCATATCATCCGTGGAATTTGTACTGTATAAGGGAGATTGAAATCCCCTTACACCAGAGATTGAAATGCCCAAAAATAAAAAAAAATAAAAAAATAAACATAATAAAGTCGGTAAAATTGAAATCAAAATTTATATCATCATATTATATATACAAGATTTACGGCTGAATGCCACGTATACAAATGAAGTGCTGCGCGTCCAAAGCAACATCGCTCCGACAAAACACCACCCCTGTTCTCCGAGGTTCGTCTTCCACAGCACTGTCGGTTAGTTCTAATTCTTTCATCCTTAAACAGTTTTAGTTCTCAGACATTAATTATATACTCCAAATCCTTTTCAACGACAGAGACTTGTACCGATTCCTTTCCAAATCCGAACAAAAAATCTCCTCCGAACCTGCCTCCATTCCTGCCGCTAACCCCACCAGCCCCTCCGCCTTTCTCGGGCACCATTCAGGCTGCAAACCGGCCACCGGAAAAGAACCGGCGAAATCGGTTGATTCTCGGGTCTCCGATACACCGGCCGGTTCGCTTACCACCGATATCACGACATCGGCCGAACTGGTCTCCGGGGGATCAGTAACATTTACATTCTCGGATTGAACCGGAGCTCTGCAGAGAGGGCAGTTGGAGTGGAACCAGAACCACGCGTCGATGCACGCGACGTGGAACTCGTGTCCGCACTTTGGCAGAGTACGGCCTCGGTCGCCGTCCTCGAACTCCGACAAGCACACGGCACATTCTAGCACGGCGGCGGGGGTTGAAGAGTGGACGAAGATTGGGATGGTTTTGAGGATTTGTGGGTCCAACCTGCTCTGAGAAGAGATACTGACCGCTGCGTCGGTGGCTGGGGAATTAATCGGCTGACGTGGACTGCGGTGGCGGCGCCGTTGGCTGTTGTTGGCCCGGGTTGAGCACCACCGGGCGTAGGTGTGGAAGCAAACGACCACGCATACGACGATGAAGAGGATGGTTACGGAACTGAGCATTATCTTGCCGTTGAGGGCGTAGTTGGTTGGAGTGTCGTTTGTATTGTCCATTATTGGAGAGAGAGAATATTAGAGAAATTAGTAGTGGTGGTAATATTGGTGGGGTTTTAGATGGGCGGGAAAGTGGAGTGATATATATAGGGAGGAATGTAAAAAATGCTACATCATTTTTTTTTTATATAAGTGTACTTAATTATTTTATTTTTTAAAATAATAATATATGATGTTAATAAATTCACGTATTAAAATTAAATAATAAATTTAAAAAATGTCAAAGAAAGGAATTAGCATTTTTTATATATTTAATATTTTTTAGAAATAATTCAAAAATGAAACTAAAAATGTTTTCATTTTCATTTTCGTACAGAAAATAAAAACGTTTTGGAACCAATTCCAAACGCACCCTATGTGTTGGTTTTTCTGACTTGGTGCTTGTTTAACATTGCTTTTATTAAAAAATGGTTGTACATGCTATAATAGGAAAGAAAGTTACATGCATCTTTCGGATAAAGTTTACATGCTTCGGACATACATTGTTGAATTGTAATTACTCGTTCATACAATTGAGTGGTGATGGGAAAAATTACATACGAAGGATATATATTTTAAGTTGCAACTTTTGGAAGTAGCTAGGTATTATTTTTTGTGAAAGAAGTAGCTAGGTATTAGGTAGTACATAAATGTGTATTACTACTGCGCAATTCGTTTCAGATCTCTTTTCCTAGCTTAAACTTCGAGATGGGTATTTCCTGGAAAAGAAATTTTAAAAAATTGTATATAGTTGGATATGTAATTCATAAATTTGCAAAGAGATAAAAAAAAATTAAATATATCTCTATATTAGCTAGTCGGAGTACACGTTGACAGGAGAATATCATGACCCATTTTTTTTAAGTGCCTACTTGTCATGTATTGGTGTACATAATGTACGCCAAGCTTTCAGTGTAACTGTATAGGTTAGTGAAAATGAATATAATATATATACGACTTTCGGTGACATATATACTTTCTCTGATCTTTTTGTTCTTTTGGCAAGTTTTTGTTCATGGGAACGAGTTTATCTTGTTATTAGTACTGCACAAGGTCCACTCCTTTTAGTACTAAACAAGTCAGATCATTTTCGGCTATATCAAGTCAAAAACAAAACTTTCTAGTAAATTAACCTTATCCGATCGATCAATTTCTTCCGCTGGCTTATTCTTTATTATTATTATTATTATTATTATTATTATTACTATTATTATTATTATTATTGTTATTGTTATAGTAATATTATTATTATTATTATTATTATTATTATTATTGTTGTTGTTGTTGTTGTTGTTATTATTATTGTTATTATTATTGTTGTTGTTGTTGTTGTTGTTGTTGTTGTTGTTGTTGTTGTTGTTGTTGTTGTTGTTGTTGTTGTTGTTGTTGTTGTTGTTGTTGTTGTTATTATTGTTGTTGTTGTTGTTGTTGTTGTTATTGTTGTTATTATTATTATTATTATTATTATTATTATTATTATTATTATTATTATTGTTCTTCTTCTTTTTATTACAGCTGATCATTTTTGTCTTTTCCATTGGAATGCAACTTATCTGACGTAGATAGCCAACAAAACATATGAGCGTCATTTCGGAATTAAATTATATATTAGCGCAATTATAGTATGGACATAAAGATCAAACAACTATAGATCAAACAACTATGGATCAAAAAAACAAAAAAAAAGATAAAAACAATGGGTGCGTTGAAACTCATTCTAAAATGATTTTATTTTTTGTATGAAAATATAAATGAAAACGTTTTTAATCTCAGACATAAATTATTTTTAAAAATGTGTTTGGTAGTTTTATCAAGAGATTATTTTCAGCATAAAAAACTTATTAATGTCTTTCTCTCTGTCTCTGCTCGAGAGAGGAGAAAATGAAAACAAAAAATGAAAAATGACTAAAAATCGTTTTTCATTTCTCTCTCATTTTACACTAAACCAAAAAATAGTTATTATTTTCATTTTTTATTTTTAATTGTGCCAAACACCTTTTTGGAATCGTTTTCATTTTTTTCCCTCAAAAAACGTGAAAAATAATAGCAAGAACAATTTTAAACACAGCAAATGATTCACATTTAACAAGACGGACAATTGTTTTGTCTCCTAAATGTATGATTAAGAAAGAAATGTACAAAGTACGCTCAGCTAATTAAATTTACTTTTTCTCCCCTTCAATACTTTGCAATTGTGTTGGACACTTGGACTTAATCATGGTTTTAACTTAATAAGAATAGGTTGTGACCCATATATGTCTTATCCGCGCGTTTTCTGTGGGAAAAAGCGAGAAAGTTGATAAAATCAACTGGCCTAGCTAGGGATTGCAAATTGCATGGCATCATTTATTTTTGTGTGCAACTTGTTTCAAAATTATTAGAGATATAAAAATATTGAATAACTTGTGTTAAAGGGAATTAAAAACAAGTACATCAAGAAGTTGTCATTCTCATCCATCAACTATGAAAAACTTCTCCATGCTGTATTTAAGTCGTAGGTAGTACACCTCCCCAAATTGTTGAAGAGATTTCACCCAGAACAAAAAAAAAAAGGAAATTATTTAACAAATTCAATACTTTTTATAACTTTTGAATATTGTGAAATAATGGTCACATATTTTTTCAATTATGTTTAACATGCATGCATAAGCTTAAACTTAACGTTATATATGGATATATAGCAGCGCATATAGTATATCATATATATCTTCCACTCTGCGTAGTGCTATCTATCTAGTGGACCAGTTTAATTAGTTAGTAGTACCCCCAACTGGATCATATATACGTACGTATACGTACATATTATTCCCTCCAATCCGGAATATTTAACATCAAAAGGGGCGAAAAGCAAGCAGAACATTACATAATGGCAACTAGCAGATCCTTCAATCTCCCACACTCTAAAGATGCCTTCCACAATTAGTCCTTTCCAGCTTTCGACATGCCAACTGAAAACGCTTTTGGGTTCTATATTGATTTTAGCTATTTATAATAAATAGTTGTGGATAAGATGCAATCGTGAGATATTTTCCATCAACAGATCATGAAGTTGATAAAATAACGAAAACCACCAAAATAATGAATAAATTAAACCTTCATTTCACCGATTCGAGTTTTCTATTTCAGTTTTGTTACAGTTAAAAATTCTCACAAAAAGTTACATCTAACTTTTTTACTACAGTTAAAAACTCTCACATAAAATCACATCTCAACTCAAATTGAAAACTCGAATCTACGAACTGAACGAGACATAGTTGAACCATTTATTAGTATATTTGACATTTATTGCATAGAAACTGACGTTCTATATATACGTACGGCGCCCAAGCCGAACTGTCCCAAATATATATTCGAGCCAAACGCATATATATATATATATATATATATGTATATATCTATATGTAAGGATTAAATTTTGCCTATGCTTATATTAGAAGTGAAAACAATTATAGGTTAGAAAAACTAGATATATACTAATTGGTAGAAGTTAGCGGAGAGAAGGCAAATTGATGGTAGATATATAAGTTAGTAGAGATGAGAAGTGTGAACGATCAGAGGAGGGGGGGCAAAAAAAAAAAAAAAAAAAAAAATATATATATATATATATATATAGGAGCTTTCAAAAGTTATCTGGTAAAGGAATATATGCTAGGAATCTGAAATAATTGATCAATTGAATGAAATATTGTAAACTTTCAATTGGTAACTAATAAATATTTTGTAAATAGATGAAAAGCACAAACTACATTATTGGTTTAACAAAATTGATAATATTTTTAAACAAATTTAAACTTTTTCAGAGAAAGCCATTCAATTAATCATAAATAACTCATTAGCATATATACCCTCTATTATGATGCTTCAATTATCTTTATGTGATACTAAAATCATTTAGAAAATCTGAAGTAATAGCAGACACACTCGAAATGAAAATAAAAAGGAATAAAACATATAAATGCTATATTGTTGCAAGGGATGAAAGGTCTGCATGTTTAATCTCTGTTGTCTGTAGATACTTGAGACGTTTGATTCATGAATTAGAATCACGTGATTAGAATCATTTTTTATTTACGTGTATTTTTTATGAGAGAAAATACTGTAGCAAATCATGAATCATAATTCAAATTATAGTTTGAATCCTCCAACCAAATATCTCCTTAATTCTCTTTTGGTGAATAAAGATGTTTATTCAGCAAAAAAAAAAAAAAAAAAAAAAAAAAAAAAAAAAAAAAAAAACTTCTCTTTTCAGTAAGTATTTTCCATTTTTGGCTCGTTGTTTTTTTTTTATATTTTTTTGCTAGTTGAGGTTTGTTTTTTAATATATTCTGTATTCATCTACACTTTTCTTTTCCTATGAAGTTAATCACTAAGAACTTTTTTCTTCTTTTTTTTTTTTTTTTTTTTGAAGAGAAATCAGTAGGAACTTTTTGTTTACTACAGTAGAGGAAAAATCAAACCCAAAGGGATTATCGTGGGCATAAAATGCTCCATCAACAATCGCCTTAGAAAATATCGCCCATAACCCATAACATATTTTACCTTTAAACTAATGCCCAATAAACACTGGTCTAGCCAGTCTCCATCCACCAGACTTCCAGGTAAGGCACGGACCACTACGCCGGCAATAGCATAACTTAGCCCATCTTAATTTAAGGGAGAAATACAAAAATGCCATGAAAAGATGTGATCTTTATTTACCACACTCAATGACATATGTTTAACATTTATGCCCTTGGGTTCACTAAAAATTATTTCCTTTTTAAAAAAATTACATATTTGAAATATGTTTATTTCAATTTTTTCTCCACTATAAAAATGATCGGACATCTCTAGCTTAGGTCTTTGGAAAGTATTATAGTATAATTTACTATAATTTACTAGCATATAAATGTAAATTTATTGAATTTTTGTAGCATAATATGTAATTTTCTCTTAATTTAAAATCAAGCCTTTTGCTTAGGAAATTAAAGAAATACATCATCTTAATCTTCATTCTTAGTGTTGTCTGTTTTAAGAATTATGACCCTCTTAATTTATATTTAAATGGAGGACAAAAGGGGGTTATGAAATCAAGAGTACTGTTTAAGAAACGACATAATAAATCCCTACTCTAGGCATTCTTCTAATCTTTAGCAGTTAGACCAACAACCAGTTGACCAGCTTGTTAATTAAGACGACACTCAAAGCATCGTACGTACGCAGTCCAGGAGAATCTCAAACTAATGGAAAGGGTTGAGCGTGAGCCTTATGTGTTTCTCTTACTACCGTTTTTCTTATTCCTTGTCTTTGAAATATGTAAGAATTATCTTTTGCTTTGAAGTTAATACTGTTTTCAGAAGGTGGGAGGGTGAAAACTTTCCCGTTCCAAATATAGAAAAACACACAAGAGAAGAGAGACTCTTTGAGGGGGGAAAAAAAACAGAGAGAGAGAGAACGAGCAAGAGAAAGGCAGAGAGGGAGAGTGCGGAGGGGCCGGTAGGTCGGTGCGTCGCCGATCTGCTGGCCTTCGTTCTTCGTCCAGAGAGTGGTTGACGGTGGATCTACGTTGTGCCGGGGTTTGTGCTGCCAAGAGAGTGAAGCCTAGCTCACTACAACAAAAAGGGTTATTAGCGACGATATTATTAGCGACAACATTTGTCGTTACTAAAATTACAGTATTAGCGACGACATCTCGTCGCTTAAAAAAAAATTTTAAATAACTTGTCGTCGTATTCAATATTTGCAATGAAATGTCGTTGCACAAAATTTATATAATTACGACGACATGTCGTCGCTAAAATGGAATGGAATATTCGTGATCAGTTGCGGGAAAGGGCTATTTGCCGCCTGGTGACGAGACCATTGATGAAGGAGGCATTGTCATCCGAGGTGGTCGTGGGAGACTCAAATCTCCTCCTGGATCGGGCTGGGTCGGAGGGTGGATGGAATGGTTTGGGCTGCTTGGATCTATTGCGGGTTGGGAGGGTTTGGTCACCATCTGCCTGATGTCGATGTTAAGGGACCCAACCGTGGCTGTGGTTGGGTTCGTGCCGCCGAGTGAGGGTGGTCAGCAATACTGTTGGTTTTGCCATGGGGTTGGCCAAGTTGGAGCCGTTGATGCTCTCTGAAGGGCAAGTGGATGGAGTTGGATGGTTGAGGCTTCTCGGTGGATAGCGTTAAGGGATCTCAGAAACGTGGTTCGCGGTGGAGGTCGTGCTCTGGACTTGTGTTTAGTCTTGTTTTTATGTTATGTGTTTGTTTTTGTTTATGGTGTACTGATAATAAAGGAGGTGGTGGTTTCAACACCTCCTAGTGTCCGTGATGTCTCCCACTTGGTCGAGTCGATCACCGTCGGTGTGGGTTGTTCGGTCTGGTTTGTTTTAGGCCGCATAGATGTCCCCTATATGAGGGATTTGGTCTCAATCGACTGGATTAATCCATCGACTGTTTGGTCTCTTTCAACGAGCTTCGACTGTGCTCGATTTTTATGTGCCGATCGGGCTTTTTCTCTTTGGGTATCAGCATTAGTATTCACCCTTGTGCTATTATTTTTTTTTACTGGTGGATCTAGTTGTTCGGGTGGAATTCTATTGTATTCGGGATCATTTGCAACATGTCGAGTATGTATTTCTTTCCTTCTGGTAATAAAATTTCCTTTTATTAAAAAAAATGTAAGAATTAAGATTGTGTTTAATGTTGGATCAAGATTGAATACTACAAAGTTGAACTAAACCATATCGCGTAACAGTGGGAACCTTTCAGCTAGCGTACGTTCCGAGACTTGTTATATGTATAAGACGTGTGTGTTTACGGAAATATTTAGTCTTTTTATATTACTGCGTTAATGTTACTGTTTGGATATAAGCACTAAATATTGCCCATCCACACTGATAATAATTTGTTTTTTTTTATAATAAAAAAAACGTGTTAATAAAGGGAATTGATTAAACACGTAATTTATTGACTTCATATTCGTTTTATTTTATGAAAGAAGATAATGCTAAGTTTGAATTGGTCACTTCCCCATCATGTTCTTAGTCAACGTATTTATCCGTGTCGGATTAAGGCCACATACAAGTGTGAACAAAAGTAGAAGGACATTTTGTCCACGTCTCTTTGTCCCTCCAGTATTGTTTTTATAATTTAAAAAATAATAAGGGACAAGATCGATCTGATTCATTTGACTTGTTCACTTATTATCTCTTACAAGATAAATATAAATATAAACATAAATGTGAATTCAAGTATATATATATTCAACGTTTGAACCATAATTTGTCTCGGCATTTATGAAACTCACTAGTGAAAACAAAAATAGAAGAAAAGTTTAGTTCTCTATAGGAACAATCAAGAAGTCGCTACGAGTTAGGTACTTTATGTTCTATTGATGAGTCTGGAATTTTTAAAATGACGAAAGGGATCGATATGGAGAGGAAGTAGACACAAATGTCTCTTTTTTTATTCGGAAAAACAACAAAAAAAGAAAAAAAAAAAGAATTCACTACGAGTAAATAGTTTGGAAATCATTTGTTTTTTCCTCTTACGTTAATGAAAAAAATTAACCATTCTAAAAAGTTCATGCATTATAACGAGCAGGAAATATTCAAGTGTGACTTAATTGGTCGCATGGGATTCTGTCCAAAAGATATATATTTTCAAAAAAAAACTATATATATATGTGTGTGTGTGTGTGTGTGTGTGTGTGAGGCCTTCAGAAAATAGCCAAGCACATCAAGATACATATTAATTACATATTTATCGGCCTCTTGGAAGATAGCTAACTAGCTAGATATTTTCCCTTCATCTTTTCAAAATAAAAACATTACACCTCTAGTAAAAGATAACGAAGATAGTACACCTCTAGTAAAAGATAACGAAGATAGTCCATAGATCAGAGAACTAGAGAGAGAGAGAGGAGAGAGAGAGAGAGAGAGATGGAGAAAATAGAGCATTCAACGGTGCACACTAACGGCATAAACATGCACGTGGCATCAGTCGGGACCGGTCCGGCAATTCTGTTCCTCCATGGCTTCCCGGAGCTCTGGTACTCGTGGCGGCACCAGATGATTTCCCTCTCGTCTCTCGGCTACCGCTGCATTGCTCCCGATCTCCGTGGCTACGGTGACACCGATGCGCCGCCATCACCAACGTCATACACGTCGCTCCACATCGTCGGCGACCTGGTAGGGCTAATTGACCATCTGGTAATTGAGAAGTTGTTCTTGGTGGGACACGATTGGGGGGCTATGATCGCATGGTACTTCTGCTTGTTCAGACCAGACAGGATCAAAGCCTTGGTCAACCTCAGTGTGCCTTTCTTTCCAAGGAACCCCAAGATCAATTTTGTGGATGGCTTCAGGGCTGAGCTTGGTGACGATTTCTATATTTGCAGGTTTCAGGTTATTAACTAATTTCAGTCTATTTTTTGCTCCTATAAAGTCTTTCGTCGTCTTCAGTTCAATATTTCACCAAAAACATTATAAAAAATTAATCGATTAAGACACTCGTGAAGAAATGTAATATTTATAGGGGAATCTCTACAGTGGAGAATGTTATCATGTTTCATCGAAAGGAACTGTTATTTTTAACTATTATATTAAATAACAATTATATTAATATTCTCAATTGTTAGATCTGCATATATCTGTTAAAAATATCATGCGCATGTACGGTACATAATTGCTTTTACTGTTGATCAGGCCTTTAGATTAGTTAATCTAACGGTTAAAACACAGTTCCTACCTACCGATGAAGTAAAATAGTATTCTCCATTATAAATGTGTCATATTTATAAAAGTGCTTAAATTATTGATTTTAATCAACTTATTACCTAATTTTTAAGAAAAATAGGAAGACAAATTGAACAAAATTAATAATTTAGAAGGGCAAGTCAACTAATTAAAATCAATAATTGTGAGCATTAGGAAATTATAAACAGTGTCAACTATTTATGGTACAGAATTTTGAGCACATACTGAATTGGGAAAATAATTAATTTATGGAGCATTTCTGGTATAAAATTTATTTGATTTATTTTGAGTTTTTTTATTCCTTATCAGAATAATATACAGTAGGTAGATGATTTTTACCTCTTTAATTTTGATATGAATATTATTTAGAGAAGTACATCATCTCTTTGACAGACATTTGCCAAATTAGTGTGCTTAACTAGTCGTATAATATTAGTTGCATAGATAGTGATCGCATGCCCTATTATAGATTAAAGTATACCACAATATTTATATAATTAAATGGCATTTCATGAGAAAAATAAAATAGGACGATTACTTGTTGCAGAAAAGTACAAATTAGATCATTTAATTAATGCTAAATTAGACTTAATTTTGTCAGATTATTAAGCCCTGTTGCACATGATATGATTTATATTCCTGTCAATTATGACATTTTCATTTGGAAATGTTTTGTCCAAACATAATTACTTGGGTTTGGCCAGCAAAAAATAGGTTTTTAAAATCTATTTATTTTCATACGTTTCTGATAGGTAGCTATACTAGCTATAGAAACTTGTTAAGTATTACGTCCAATGTGTTCGTGTTTTTCCAAGTGTTGTTAAAAGAATCATGCTATACCGCACCAACAAGACACAAAGCACAGTGGATCCTGTATGTTATACATATCAAAATAAATAAACAAATAAAATGAAAAATAAAAAATAAAAAAATTTTGAGGCATACGGAGTTAAGCGATGCGGAGTCGAATATCTATTCTGTTGTCAAAAAGGTGCAAGCCGACAAGAAATATTTTGTGTTTCCTTGTAAAGGAATTTAGTGAATTGCGTTGTACATAGGAACCTGGAGAGAGTGAAGCAGATTTCTCGTCGGACACTGTAGCTGTATTTAGGAGAATCCTTGCAAACCGTGATCCGAAACCTCCATTGATACCTAAAGAGATTGGGTTCAGAGGTGTGTATGAAGATCCCGTTGCTTTGCCTTCCTGGCTCACCGAAGATGACATTAACCATTTCGCCAATAAATTCAATGAGACTGGCTTTACCGGAGGATTGAATTACTATCGAGCTCTCAACCTGTAAGTTTCTTCTCATGATTATCATGTCCTAATTTTTAGAGAGGAAAATTAGGTTAATAACCAATTTTTGCCACCTTTTTTAAATTAATGCTGAAATTGTATATCACTAACTGATATTGGTCAATCAATGCTAAACCGCCAAATCAATTAGTGATACCCGACTAAATCAGTCTGTGATAAACCGGTATATTATTACTACAAAGAAAAAATGTATAACATTATGAGTGGTTCATATGCTTGCTATTCCTAACAAGTTCAAGATATAATTGAAGCTCCTATAGGATACTGGTATGTCATATTGTTTTAATCGTTAAATTTGTATATTTTTTTTATTTTATGTGATTTTATACAGATATAGCGATAGAAAACCTTACTTGCCGAAAAGTCCCTTAAAAAAATGAATAATATTAGAATCACAAAATATAATTTGATTGAACAGAAAGCGAAGTACCTAGGAGTTATCACCAAGGACATCCCATTGACACTGTAAAGGTTTGATTTTTTATATGTTTTTTTTTTTTTTTTTGAGAAATTCAACGGTGTCAATTTTCGAACTTAATCAACCAAAAGCAAAAATAATAGTAGCCCCACTCGATGATGGAAAATTTTAATTATGCTTGCTGAGATATTATTCTCAATATTGTGCCCTTATTGAAAAAAAAATAATATATATATATATGTGTGTGTGTGTGTGTGTATTGTACACACATTGAAATATTTTTCTACCCGCCATCTGCTTTCATGACTGTTATTTTAGCTCCTCATTCAATCGTTCATACATACCTAAAACTTCCGATTGCAATAGTATCCAACAAAGAAGTACTGACAATTAAGGAAAAAAATAGATCACAACATATACATCAATTATATATGACTATATTATTGCCACTTGGCTAGCTCAAGTTTTTGAGTGTCTGAGTGTGTGTATCCACCAAGATTTAAATTTTGATAGTTTCATTTCTTAAATAAAATGGGAGTCCTAGACCCACACAGTATCAAAGTATATATATATATATATGCATATAAATAACTATATTATTAAAAAACAAAACAAAGATTAGGTTTTGCTAGCCTCGTCAAAGCTGCAGGGCAATCAGATTAACCGGTAAAATTGCTACTGTAGCCAAGCCCAACTCTCTGGGTAGGATTCCATATTAATAGAAAATAGGTCTCGTTTGTGTGATTTATATTCATCTTTTATTTGTTGGTGGTGTTTAGAAAAAATCTCTTTCATATTCAACGTGTTCGATCGTTACAACATAATCCTTTTATTTTTTATTTGTGGTTTTGGATTGCACGCGCAAGCAGAACATGGGAGCTGACAGCAGCATGGACAGGAGCACGAGTGCAAGTACCAACAAAGTTCATAATGGGGGACCTAGACCTTGTCTATTATTTCCCTGGAATGAAGGAATACATTCTCAACGGTGGCTTCAAAAGAGACGTTCCCTTGTTGCAAGAACTCGTCATTATTGAAGGAGCAGCTCATTTCATCAATCAAGAGAAGCCAGATGAAATCAGCTCCCACATTCACCACTTCATCCAGAAGTTTTAAGTTACTAACAATACTATATATATATATATATATATATATATCAGCATGTTTTATGCTTGATCATCATGTTTCTTTAATTTTCCAATTAATAATTTCAAGCTGAATAATAATAAAGATATGAACTTTTTTATTTTGATAATAAAAAGATATAAACTTTGGCCTGGTGCAATTAGTACGTTCTTTATTACTTTGAGATCACTGTCACACACACACAAAAAAAAAAAAAAAAAAAAAATGCAATTAGTACGTTCTTTATTACTTTGAGATCACTGTCACACACACACACAAAAAAAAAAAAAAAAAAATTTGTTTTATTCGTATTATCTTTATTTAGACCATGGTGCCTCCAGCGAGGATCTTTGATTCCAGTTATGGACACGAGAAAAGTCGTGTGATTCAGTGATTAATAGCCTCGTAAAAAGTACAAAGTGCTTTTAAAAGGAGAAGAAAACGAAAAGGAACTGAGGAAGCGAAGGCAAAGTAAGCTTTTAAAATAAAGGCGCTTTTATAGTAGGGTCTTGTTAGTAGGGTAAACCGTAAATCTCGTTAAATTTAATTAAAATTACATCATATTAAAAGAATTTACAGAATACTCATACAAATTTAATAATTAAAAATATATATTTTCGTCTTTCATGAGTTTAGGTGTATTCATTTACACAACTCAAGTCATATTATTATAATATTTTTTTCACATAAATTTAAATTTAATTTTTTTATTATAGTATTTTTCTCTCACATACACAACCTGAGTCATGATTTGAGTTGTGTAAATAAATACACTCCTAAAAAGTTTAGGATCCTAGTAATTATACAAGATTAATTCCTTCTTGTATAACCTTACAGAAATAGAATTTACCATGGTTTCTTTTTAATATACGGAGGGAAATCCATTGACCATATCTATATGTAAAGATTAAAATAAGCCCTTCTTCAAATTAGTCCTTTTTCTCAAAGAAGATCCAACTCTACAAACATAAAAGACGCAAAACAAAAAATTTTGCTGAAATCATGCTCTGTCCCAATCAAACAATAATTTCAAGGAAATCACGCGCAGTAGAAATATTTAAGGAAAATTAGGTATTCCTTTCTATCGGATCATAAATAGACTGCTCTATTTTTGCAAAACCACACAAACAAAAAATAATAATAAAAAAAAGACAAAAAAATGAATAATTTACTTTTAAGAGTATATAAATCTAGAAATTTTCTCTCTTTTAAAGGTAATTTCTCTTTTCAATCATTTTCTGTACCATTTGGGTCAAACAAGAAATAAAGGAAAGGAAAGGAGCTACCTAAACAATAGGTAAATAAAAATTGTGAGATAAGATAGGAAATATCATATTTTTTATTTTGGGAAACATCATATTAGTAGACACAATTATCAAATATATTGAACATAGCACATTAGATTAGCAGATATCATCATATCAAGGAAAATACTATACCAGTTCAAAAAAAAAAACGCATTATAATTTAATTGAATTTAATACAAAGACCGGGATTCATAATTTTATTTTCTGAAAAAGAGATTCATTGTAAAAAGAGAAAGAAACATTAATTCTGATATGAAGGGTCCCAACATACAAAGAGACCCAACCTCGAAAAAAATTGAATCTACCGGTACAAATAAAATGAAGCTCAAAAGTAAAAACGTGAATCTACCGGTAAGTAAATTCAACAACTTGATTTTCATTTTTAGTTTTTATTTTTTATTTTTTTTTTACAATGCCATATAAAATTGTCCCAAAAAAACACACACAAGACTCTTGATGTGTTTTGATTAATGAGCTAAAAAGCTTGGTCAGTCAACACCTTCACTTTAAAAACACCTATTGAACTTCGCATTGCTTTCTCCTCCTACTAATCATAAGATCCAAAAACAGAGCAAAAACGAAAACAAACCAAAAACGACCAATATCTCATCTCATCCGAAAACATGGAGAAGATCGAGCACACAACGGTCCCCACAAACGGCATAAACATGCACGTGGCATCAATCGGGAGCACCACTGCTCCGGCAATTATATTCCTCCACGGCTTCCCCGAGCTCTGGTACTCCTGGCGGCACCAGATGATCTCCCTTTCCTCCCTCGGCTACCGCTGCATCGCTCCCGACCTCCGCGGCTATGGCGAGACCGACGCGCCGCCGTCGCCGGAGTCGTACACGGTGTTCCACATAGTCGGCGACTTGGTGGGCCTGCTGGACCATCTGGGTCTCGACCAGATCTTCGTTGTGGGCCACGACTGGGGAGCGGTGATCGCCTGGTACTTGTGCCTCTTCAGGCCCGATAGAGTCAAAGCTTTGGTCAACATGAGCGTCGCCTTCAGTCCAAGGCACCCAACCAGAAAGCCTATCGAAGGCTTCAGAGCTTTGCTTGGCAACGATTACTATATTTGCAGGTTCCAGGTAAATCAAATTATTTAAAAAAACAAAAAAAAGGGTGTAAAATCGAGGTTTTTCTAATTAAATTCCCCTTTTAGTAGAAATATAGTTTTTCAATTTTTTTTTATTTTTACTTTTTGTATTTTTAGCAACTTTCTGCATATGATGAGTCAAGGGCCTTTTTCCATGTCACCGGTGGTTCCAGTATATACATTTTTAGTAGGCGTTGGGTCGAGGGTGCAAAGACACCATAAAAAGTTTAGATGAGTAAGTTTAATTTAAAAAATAAAATAGACAGGTCATATTTTTGTTGTTGTTTAGTGGAAATTAGATTATTCTTCAATAATTTTCGAGTTTTTCCGTTTAAATTAGGTTTTTTTTAATCATGTTTACACAGTGAAAGACTGCTGGTTTAATTACATACTTTATCTGAAAATTTAAAATTAGGTGTCACAAATCTGGAAAAGTATAGCATATCTTCCATTTGGTTTGTTATATAGCGAACGTGTTAATTGTGATTTAGTTGAAATTAGTTCTCTCTTCAATGATGGTTCATGGTTTCTATAGTTGGAGTTCGTTACACTCTTATATGATCCTGACATTTTTGAAAAAAGACAGTTTATTTATTGACATTGTAGGACAGTGCTTAATGAAAGTACATTTTTAGGACATTTTCAGATCAAGGACTCTTCTTTATGGTCATGTATAGAATAAGTATGGATCGAATTAAATGAACATGTCGGATCTACCTAACTCCTTAATGAAAGAAGCATGGCGTGGGAGCAAATTTAATGGCATTTTCTCTACTTTTATTGAAAAATGAACCTTAAGAGTAAATTCACCGCATTCTTCTCCACTCCACACACATCTAAATAAATGAATAAACAGAGGGAAGATATTGGGTGAAGAAGTTGGCAAATCATAACATTAAATGGCTAAACTTTATTGGGGGTATAAAGAAGAAACTGGGCATTAAATTGTTCTAGTCAATGAGATTAAGAGAATGAAAACTCAAATGATGTGTATCATCAATTATTTTGGACTTAAAACGATATGGCACTTGGAAAGTTCTGTTTATCAAAATGTGGTTGAAATTCTATTGATGTCTGTAGGAACCGGGAGAAGCTGAGAAAGATTTTGCTCGTGATGACACTACAAATTTGCTGAAGAAATTCTATCTAGGACGGAATCCGAGCCCTCCATGCATTCCTAAAGAAATAGGATTCAGTGACCTGAAAGCCCCACAGACCATGCCCTCCTGGCTCTTGGAAGAAGACGTCAAATTTTACGCTAGAAAATTCGACGAGAAGGGCTTCACTGGAGGGTTAAACTATTATAGAGCTTTGGACCTGTGAGTGGTATTTGCATTTTATAGGATCAAGACAATCTCAGAGTACACACCTATATCACTTGGTATTCTAAATAAGCTGGCACGCCTAATAATCACTCTTAGAGTGTGTTTGGTTCAAGGATTCGTGTCATGGTTCGAATCATGATTCGTGACTCGCTACAGTATTTTTTCTCACAAAAAACACACGTAAATCAAAAATAATTCTAAATCCATTAACCAAACGTCATCAATAAGATGATTCTCAATGTGATATGAATAGTTTAGACTTTAGTGAACATCTAAATCAAAACAGAGTTTCATTATCAGAAAATGAACTTTTTTTGTTTGTGGTTGCAGAACCTGGGAGCTAACAGCAGCATGGAGTGGAACACAAGTGAAAGTACCAGTGAAGTTCATTATAGGAGACCTGGATGTGACCTACCACGTTCCCGGTGCAAAAGAATACATACACAACGGTGGATTCAAGAGAGATGTCCCGTATTTGCAGGAAGTGGTTGTGATGGAAGGAGTGGCTCACTACATCAACCAAGAAAAGGCCGAGGAAACCGCCGCTCACATTTACGACTTCGTTAAGAAGTTTTGATCTTTCACCCGACAAGTTCATCACACTTGCCTCAGTTCCCTTATGTTTTGTTCTGCAGTGTAGTTGGTGAGAGTCGCAAAATGCAAGGAGATTTATGGCAGACAGATTGTCTTTTTAAAGTCTAGAGCTAGGCAGCTGCGGCCGGCTTGTTATGTATTGTTATGAGATTTTCTTTCGTTCCCATCTGTTTGTTCGTCAAGGACCCACTAACAGTTTACTCTTAAGGTTCTGGCATCTTTACCTAAAATTGTGGTGAATTTACTCTTTTAATCCTCTTAACAGTTTTAGAAAGAAAATAGAAGAAAAAATGTTGCATAAAAACAAGATAAATATTGTACCCCTAATTCCACCTCATTCAAAGTTTATAATAGTAAAAGAATCTCTCTTCTAAGTTCTAATAAGTTTATAATAGGAAAGGAAAACTAGTTTTGCTTATTCATTTAACCCACTCCAGTTTTTAACTTCTTCATATTTTCCATCCCTTGTACAGAAAATTTTCCTATCTTCTCCGTCCTATTTTCCGTTCCCATCTAAAGATGCTGGTATTTTAGGAAGTTGATCATTCAGCAAGCGAATGAAAGTATTTTGTAACATTGGCTTATCATTCAAGGACTAACCAAGAAAACCTTCCGCACAAAAGTAGCTTGAATAACATTCAATCTAGCATACAATCAGAAATTCTGCAATGAAGACTCGACGTCAAACCATTTGGTTTTGCTCCGACGTCTAACCTACTTGGATTGTGAAAATTTCTCACTATCATTTGCTTTCAGAATGCTCGAAGGGTGGATGGCAAAAATGATCAGAAAAACTTTTCACCAACTTCAAACTCGTCCATAGGTACTAGATGTGTGGCGGTGAAATGCTCAAGATGATCAAAAAAGAAATTCCCCACACTGAAAAAGAACGGAATGGGGAGCTTGGGAAATGAATTGGGTTCTAATGGTTAAGAATAAAGTTTCTTGAAAATCTAAGCTAGACAAATAAAATCCCTCTTTAAATAAATTCTCAAAACAAAACTATCCATAAGGAGTGATATAAATGAAAACTGCTACAAGAAACATGATTGTTCCTCCATAAGCATGGGAAAAAACTAAAATAAAAGGAACCATAACTGCAAGTGGGCAAAGAGATCCATTAATAAAGTTCGGATGGATCCATTTGTAATGTATGAATAGCTTCGACAACTCAAACTCTGAAACCTCTGCTGTTCCTTTTACCTCTAGCCCTCTCAAATTTCCTACCCTTTGATCGCACATAGGGTTTGGTGTGGCTGTGTGGCACACCAGGTGCGGGACCAAAGTGCTTGACAGCCTCACGAGCATTCTTCGGACCCCTGAGGAGGACCTGCAATATGCACAGGGCAGAGAGGAAAAATAGTTCCAAGTATCAATACCTCGAGAACTGAATGCATCTCAAAGAATTTTCTTTCCTTGGCAGAAATTAAACAAGGACAAGTTCTAAAACGCAAATTTTCACATGCATTTGACCATAATGTAAAATTACAACTCGTCAAAAATAAATTCCTTTGAAAAAATAACATGGATTGCGCAAGTTACGCGGAAGTTTGAGATTATGTAACTCCCATTTTCATAACCAAACAGCTTAATAGAACTAAACATAGTTGATAATTGGATGGTTGTAGGGATCTTATTCAGTCACCACACACACTGAAGACTAATTATCTAGTTCTATAGAGGCTAACCAAATCCAAAAAAATTCAGAAATCAAACAAAAGCAGCAATTTTTTGACATGCCCTGAGTTTATACCATTAATTTACATGACAAGAAAAAATTGAACAAACATATAGTAATTATACAAAAGCTGAACACAGTATAAAGTAAAGACTGTAATGCTGTAAATCGCATACCGTATTCTGGCCAAGAGGAGCTCTGAGAGCGAGCTGGTCAAACGTCAAGCATTCTCCACCGGCCTTCTCAATCCTGGCTCTGGCAGTCTCTGTGAACCTGAGAGCAGTCACTTTCAGAGCAGGAACTTCATATACCCTAATGTCGTCCGTCACAGTCCCAACAACCACAGCAACCTTGTCTTCCTATAAACGATCAAACCGCAAAAATCGACTCCATTTAAATTCTAATTTGCATCCAATCGCAAAATCTCAGAAATCAGCCATCATTTCTTTTCATTTTCTAACTGAAGTACTAATTTTTGTTTTTCTCATCAACCAAACAAAGATTACCTTGCCCTTCATGAAACGGATCAATCTGGAGAGAGAAAGCGGGGGCTTGTTGACCTTGCTCATGAAGAGCCGCTTCAGAACAACCGCATTGAAGTTGCTCCCAGTCCTCCGAACGAGAAACCGGTAAAGCTGAATTCAGATCCACGCGAATCGAAACCCAAACACGTTAAGAAACACAAACAAATCCCAAACGAAATCGTGACGAAATTTCCAAACAGAGAATAGATTAGATAACGAACCTTGACGAGAAGCTTAAGGTAGATATCGTCGGACTTGGGGGCGGTGCGCTTGGACTTCTTGCTCTTGCCTCCGGCGACCAAATCGATACCCTGAGAAATGGAAAAACGCGAGTTAGAGAGAGAAATGGAGATTAAGGTTTGCTAGGGGTTTGGAGGAGGACGATGATACCATGGCGACTGGTGCTGGTCCTGCTTCTCCCTCTCGCGGCTGCTGCTACTATCTAATTTAACCTAATTTGCTTTGCTTGTGAGGGGAGAGGAGGATTCTAGGGTTTTTGGGGTTGTTGTTTAATTGTTGTGGGGTAGGGCCGTACAGCGTTCTGGGTTAATGGGTTAATGGGTTTCGGGTTTGGCTTTGGTTAGGGTCCGAAGGTTTTTCGGTGCTTTTGACTTTTGAGATCCACATCCACTATTTATTTGCTGCCCTCATCGAATAATATCTTCAGCTGTACACGTACTCAAAAATTTTTGTTCTTTTCACGATTCAATTTTTATTATTATAATATATTTTTTTAAAATTTAAATTTTACTTTTTTACTATAACATTTTTATCTTATAGACACAATTCAAATTCTTAACTTAAATTGTAAAATAAATACTCTTTGTTTTTTCTTTTTACAATTAGTTTATATAGTCAGTGTATCTCATAAATAGTCTCTAAACTTAAAAAAATTCTCTCATAAATCTCTCTGTTAAATTTTAGACGGAAACCGTTAATTTTATCTCATAAAAAATTCCTAAACTATTTTCTCTATACTAAATTTTTTTTAAAAAAGCTAAAATTACTTTATTTCTAAATAAATGGATGTAAAAAAACATTAAATATGAAAGTTTGGTCCATGAATGTAAAAGAACATTAAATATGAAAGTTCTATCAAATTTAGACTCTGAGGGCACGTTTGGTTGGGGGTAATGGAAATGAAAAGAAAGGCAATTCCTTTAGTAAAGTCTGTTTCTTATGTTTTCACATCAGAAAAGTCTTTCCAATGGAAAGGCCATTCATCCAATCAAGAGTGGAATTGCAATTTTGAGGTTGGTGGAATCATTTTTTTCCCCAACTACCCTCTTCATCTTCTAAACACACTACTCCAAAATCAAAACACATCCATATTTTTGTCAGATCCAGCCTGAAGTTACGGCGAGACTCCATCTCTGACGCTTGCGTCGAGCACTGTCGAGCAGCCACGCCCACGTCAAAAGCTACCATACATCGTCAGAACTCGCATCCACCCCGAAGCTCATTTCAAGCGTCGCCAGAGATCGTTAGAATCGCGTTATTCTGGAGCTCTCAAGGCTGCCGAACATCATCAGAGCTCGCTTTAAGTGCCTTCGGTGCTCCACCATCAACATTGAAGCTCACAATCAAGCTTGAATCTTTCCATAGTTTTTTTTCTTCTATTGCTCTTCTTGTTCATGGAAGAAGAAATTTTTTATAGCATAAAAAAAATTCAAAGGTTAAGAAACACAAGAAACCGGTTGCTTCAATTGATGGGTCTTTTTTATTATTATTTTTTTTCATATTTGGATATGTTCTTATGAATATGGAGTTCTTGGAGTCGTTCTTTTTTATGATTGTAATGATTTCATTTTTTTTTTTTTTTTTGTAGATTTGGGTTGCTCTGAACATTATATTGATTTTTCAAGTTTGTGATAAACTTTCAACAATACTTTTGAGGAATATACGTTATTAGATTTGAGTCTTGTTGAGAACAATGTATAATGGTTTTTTCATATTTGGGTTGTTGCTTCACTTTTTTAGTTAAAGATGTTCATAGGTTCAAAGGTATTTTTGTCAAAACATGATTGATTTCATTCTATTCTAAATTCATTCCATAACTCCAACCAAATAAAAAAATTAATATTTGTTTCTGGTACATTCATATTGCATTCCATTCTCATTACCATTACCATTATCATTCCGTCACTACAACCAAACACACCCTAAACTAAAAAAAAAAAGTGATTCTATTGGCACACATTATATTTCTAATTAACCTAATATAAATAATAATATATTTTTATTTTTTGTTATAATAGATAAAACAATGTTATGAAATTATTATGTGATACATTTTGTTGTATTATGGATTGTGATTTGCAGTTAATTGTTTTTATTTTTATTTTTTTATATAAGGGGTGAAGGAATGCTACCACTTTTAAGTATGGCTCAAGATAACTCAAACTCTTAATTTATAATTAGGGTTGAGGGACTTACAACCAATTGGATTGCCCTCAACCGTCTCTTTTATTTTTTTTTTTAGGATACCTTTCCCCTTAATTTGGTGTGAAAGATTCTAATGAATGATTAAGATATATATGGATATTGCCTTCTTTATTGAATTTTGAATGTGACGGGTTTCATTTTTTTGTTTTGTTTTGAATTAAATTAGTTTATGATTTTATTTTTTTTATAGAAATTTGTTTTTTAATAAGAAAATAAAAAAATTAAAGTGAGAGATTGAGAGATAAAAAAAGCTAATGGTATAATACAAAAGATATTTATAAAAATTTACGTCTTTAAAGTTATTATAACCATATAATAATAACATGATAACATTTATTAATATGATAGTGTAAATGAAATCACTCAAAAAATATCAAAGTTACACAAGTGAATAAATAGATAAGAAAAAAAAGTCAAATATGTATAGCAAAAAAAAAAATAATAATTTTGGTATTTTTTTATTTTAGGAACTAAATTTAGTACAACTTTTTATATTTAATGTTTTCTATGTACTTATTTAAAAAATGAACTAGTTTTGACATGTTTTTTTTTTTAAGTTTAGGGATTAAATTTTGTACAACTTTTAACATAGAGACTATTTTTAAAGAGAGAAAATAGTTTAAGGACCTTTTATGAGATAAAGTTAACACTTCCATTCAAAATTTAATAAATGGACCATTTATGAGACTCTTTTTGAGTTCATAGACTCTTTATAAGATAAAATTGACTACAATGACTAAATTGAAGAGATAGAAAAATTCAGAAATTATTCATAAATTTAATTCAAATTTTATTGATCATGAGAATTAATTACCCCAAGCTCTTAAATAGAGGTCTGTGCTCATCCTACGAGGTAATAATATTTGAGAAAATTATGTAGTTTATCACCAAAATTAATAACAGTATATTTTGTATTAAGTGGGTATTTTTTTATTAAGTCTCAATATTTATTTTTATTTTTATATTTGAGACAATTTTCTGGTCTACTCAGTTATTCTAGGTCGAATTTCATTGTATTTAGATCATTTATAAATTTAGTTTGAGTTTGTATCTTTTTTTGTTAAAATAATATTATATTTATTATGTTTAGTCTCTATTATATTTGTTGATTTAAAAAATAATTTTGATATTCTACGAATACTCTCCCAAAAATATTGAAAACACTCTGATGAATAAATGTAAAGATGGCACGTCATATTTTTTGAGGTTGTTGATAAGCTCCTATTGTCAAAAACATACACAAAAAGCTCAGTAGGGACTATTCATATCAGATTTAAATTATCATTGGACTGGATTTAATGCGGTGGTTTTTTAACACGTTAACATCTAACCGCTCAAATGCCAAGTGTTGGGGTGTCTTCTTCCTTCGTAAAGAGGATCATATAATTGAAAGGGTGCGTACGTTAAAAAAAAAAAAAAAAAAAACAAAC